GCAAAAACATTTTCAGTAATTTGCATGTGTTAATCACTACAAGAAGTTTAATGAGACATGTCACTGAAAGAATACTTTTTTCAAAACAAAAATGACCCTAAAGTTCCTATGGCATCATTTTTCTCGCCGTAAACATGTGGTACATCTCATTTCAACAATGAATAGACAGTGATCTCTGAAATGGCATTGTAATGACTTTGAGTCTGCTCTAATGGTGGCAACCTTTTCTGAAACTTACAAATTCACATACGTTGGAAGTAGGAAAAGATAAGGAAGAGGACAGGAGCCTTCCACAGAGAACCTCTGAAAGACTCTACCCACCAGGCTATCAAAGGAGATACTGAGACTCATAGCCAAACTTTGGGCAGAGTACAAGATTACTTATGGAAGAAGAGGGAGGTAGAAAGACATGGAGGGAACAGGAACTCCACAAGGAGAACAACAGAGCCAAAAAACCTGGGCCCATGGGCGCCTGCAGAGACCGGTACTCCAATCAAGGACCATGAATGGCGAGGACATAGAACCCCTGTTGGCCACTCAGTTTCCAAGTGGGTTCCAAGTGGCCGCTCAAAGGAAGCCCATTGGCTGCTCAGTTTCCAAGTTGGTTCCCAATTAAAGGATACAGGTACTGTTTCTAACATGAACTCAGTGGCCGGCTCTTTGATCACCTCCTCTTGGGGGTACACCCTGCTAGGCCATAGAGGAAGATTATGCAGATAGCCTTGATGAAACCTAATAAGCTAGAATCAGACAGAAGGGGAGGAGGTCTTCTCCTATCAGGGGACTAAGGAAAGGTCATAGGGGAATAAGTGGGAGAGTGGGTAGAGCTGAGAGGAGACAAGGAAGGGGACTGCAGAGGGGATACACAGTGAATAAATTGTAATAAATAAATAAAATTGGAATACAAGAAAAAAGGAAATTTACAAAATGGAGGGCCAAAAGCACTTTCACATAGAAAGAAACAAGCCAGAGACAGAAGGAAATGCATGCAAAGAATCACAAAGCTGACATTTTTGATTTATTACAAAGTAAGCAAATCAAAAATCATTACACATTATTTAACCATAGTTTCACAAAACTTTATGTGAACTAACATTTATCTTATCCATGTTTTACACTAGAAATACCATTACCAGAATATCAACACTCCTTATTATATGTGTAACAAGATCCTACTAACCTATACTTTTTTTCAACATTAACAAAAACATGGTAGAAAGGATTCATGAGGGAATGAAAAAGAACAGAGGCCAGGGAAATAAGTAGCTTGTACATTCACATAACAATTTGATCCTCAGATATCATTTAATAAAATGAAGCAACTCACAAACACAGGTTTGTCTCTTGTATGGTAAATAATAGAAATATAAATTAAGTTGATGCAAAATTGGGTTAGTATGTTTCTGGATGGCTGAAGGCCAACCACCATTCTTAATGCAAGTGAGTGCTAAAAGAAGGGTGCACAGATGACTTCATTACCCACCTGCAAACAGTTCTTCTGTGTATGAAATGGAAGTAAATGTAAAAGGTTATTTTGTCAGTTACAGTCATCAAAGCCCTTTTCTCTCAGTGGTGTAAAATCTTCTTTGAGGAAGGATGCAAGAGCCTATGATCTTAATGATTATGGCTATACGGCTATGGTTCTATTTTTTTTTATACATTATCCAAGGTATAGCATCTAGTGTAGGCAAATTTGAAACAAATATTTTCAAATAATTCTGTAGAGAAGAGTCTTTCTAATATATACAACTATGACTGTAGGCATCAACTTGCAGTAGAGGAGTAGTTTCATCCTTCTCTTAGCATCACTTCCAGTTCTATTACCAGGAACGCCTCTCACACACAAACAGAAAAGTAAAGCAATTAAAAAGGATCATTACCAAACTAGTCCGCTTGGCATAGTATACTAAGTTCCTCAAAGAGGGGGGTTTTTCTAAGTCCATGCTCTGTCTGTCACTCAGGAGATAAGAATACTGGTAGGTGCACGGCAGTGAGACAAGAAATGGGTATCTTCTGACTTGAGGCCAGCTCATTTGTTCTCTGAGGTAACTGGTAAGAAGTTGTCAAAACTTCTAACTTGATAAAGCACCTAACTGTTGAACTGTTATCAGTGGGATTCTAAAAGGCAGCTACAATTTAAAAGGACAGTTTCCCAGTTTCCATAGGATATATATTTTGAGTCCTCTCAGTGTCCTGCTCTCAGTGGAGAATTTGCAGGGTTGAGAGCAAAAGCAAAAATAATGGGAATACCAAACTGCTGTTCAAGAGCTAGCAATATAAAATGGAACAACTCTTTGGGATTTAGGGAAGGCAAACTCAGAGGAAGGCTATGCGATTTGTCTCAATGTTGAATGCAAAAGCAGATGAAAGTCATGAGCTTGCTATATCTCACTGTCAGTAAGAGTTTTAGTTACCAAGACTGAGGAAGGTGGGCTTTGACTTAATTCAATCAAACATACACGGGAAAAATTGGTCAATAATGCAGAGATTGCAATTGTAGTTCTTGGCAAGTCATCCTACCTATCCATCTTATCATCATGCCCCTGCCAAGGAGGCCTAAAAACAATGCTGTATAATGGGGTCTATGTGTCTCAATTCTCTATAGCTCTGGAGAAATTTCCAGCTCACTACAATAGCTATCTTTACTATGACCCCAACTTAAGTATAAAGTTACTCGTTAGGTAGTTAATCTTGGTTTATAGCCTTGGTAAATAATTGGTGGGGAAATTCTTTGAGGCCAGAGTTCACTATATAGTTTGAGATGGCACTGAATGCATTCTCCTCCTTCCTTAGCCTGCTGGGATTACAAGTGTGTGCTACCACATCTACTTTGGGGAATGTTTTATTGCCTCATAGTTAAAAAAAAAAGTGTTGCCTTGGGAAGTCAGTCTCATCCTTTTATGCACTAGCAGGGCTTTCTTTAAAAATCTGGGTAGCTTAAACCTTAGACACACTAAAAGGAATGTAGGTTTATGTGTATTAAAGGGAAATGAGCTATTTAATGAAAATTAAGAATTATTAATCCATCAAATCCAAAGTCTAAAATGTTTCCAAAATGTAAAAAGTTTCAATGTGATTTTACTGATCTAAAATTAATGAAGACATTAGATTTGTATGATTCTATACACTCACTGGACAGATGTCTTTAAGAGACTGCTGAGTGACCCCCAGTTCTCTGTGATGAGTTAGAACTGATGTCTTACAGACTCCAAGTTTAGGACCAGAGTTTGGCTTATTTTCCCTTAAACTTTTGTCAAGGTTTTAAGCTGTTCCCATACAAAGTGTCTTAACTATTCACAGAAGGCCAGAGTGGAGAGACTGCTGCCTTCATTTCAAAGGTGAGGCAACAAGTCTTACAGAGATTACATGACCTGTTCAAAACTGCCTGGAAGTCTGTAGCACAGATCAGAGGAGAGTAGTATCTATTATACTTCCTACTTGTGTAATCTTGTGAAATCATTTAAAATTTCTGCATTTTATTTTTATTACATGCAAAAACATGCATTCTACACCTACTCATTATCCCTCAGTGAGTTGTTAATAATAAATTGAAATAACAGAATTTATACTTCAAACTGCTTATATTTTTTTTCATTTTTTTCTTTATTAATTACACTTTATTCACTTTGTACCCCCCTGTGGTTCCCTCCCTCCTCCTGTCACAATCCCTCCTTCCTCCACCCTCTGCATGCATGCCCCTCCCCAAGTCAACTGATAAGGGAGGACTTCTTTTCCTTCCTTCTCATCCTTCTCATCAGGAGTGGCTGCGTTGTCTTCTTCTGTGGCCTGGTAATGCTGCTTCTCCCTGGGTTCCATTGTAATAGGAACAGGGACTGTCTCTGACATGAACTGATGGGCCTGCTTATATATTTCTTAAACATTTAAATCTTATAAAACATTATTATCATCACCAATTAACAGGTAAAGAAATAGGGGCCAAGAAATGCTGAATAATGTGCTCAGTCCAAAAAACTAGAAATGAAACAAAAGCTAACACTTGATTCCTTGTTAGATTCAGTTCATAGCAGTCTGTATTACAGGACATGTACTTAAAGGCTTACTTAGGCGAAATAACCAGGGCAAAGGTCTTTTATGAATGTAATTGTTGGGTCCTGAGGCTATAGCTCAGTGGAAAAGTGTCTGTCTAGTTTAGAACCCGAGTTAAATTGCCATCATGGAAAAAGAGAAACAGGAACATGAGAACTTGGACTAAGGATACAATAAATTTATTATCAGAATGGCCAAATGAAGCAGCATAAATGAAGTTGAAAACATTGCTGTATACACACACACACACACACACACACACACACACACACACAAATCAGGCCCAGGGAAAGATTTTTCTAATAAGCACAGATTAACTTGAGATAGCTATAAAGCCATTTCAACAGGTAATTCAGTGAAAAGCAGCCTTGTATGTGCTTTACCTTCAGATTCAGGCTACTGACCTAATTATATTATACATTTTGGAATGTTATGCTAAAGATTTACTTGAGCACAAATGGAAAGATGTGTGTCGATCTTGATGTAAAATCACAGTCCTCCCTTCCCTTTAAATCTTCCAACTATACAGACAGCTGAACAGATTTGGTCAAAGCTCAGAATTTTCTTTGCTCTAACACAGCTTCTAGCCTCAACTGTGAAGGCACTCTAATAAATGGGAGATAATCATAATATTACTACACTAGAAGCATAGGTCAATAATTACTATTGTTACCAAGACTAGCTAGTGTAGAAAAGTAAACTTAAAATTATCCCAGTTACATTTTCACTAATAAGATTTCTAGCCAGCAGGATGCATTTAAGACAACATATGCCCATTTATTACCCTTTGACAGCAGGTGGTCTGGACGGTGACAGGGTACAAAACACATTTTAGTGTTTCACTAGGGCCTTGCTGTGACCATGGGAGCTTGGCACTGTTTAATTCTGGTTAAACGCCAGATCAATAACTTGTTAAGAAAGAAAAGTATCCCCATGAGTAGAAAGTTACCAACCTCAGCTTGTTTGCACCAAACGCTGATGTTTTTACGTTGGGCTTTTGTGAAGTGGTCCCATGCCTTCTGTTTGGAAGCAGAATGGTACACAGCTACTATCTGCTCAACTGCAGTATCAAATCGGTAGTCGGATCAGGCCAAATCATCATCCATTGATAGAAAGTGAGAGATAAAAAATAAAAGAGAAACATGAGGTTTGTTTCATTAAGTTGTTATGACACAAATGAGGCTTTGGCTATACTTGAATATGACTACATGCACCGAGGTACTAATATAACTAGTATCTCATGGTTGTAATAAAATTCTGACAAGAAGGATTTAGCGTAAGGAAGGAAAGGTCTCTTTTGGCTCACAGTTTACGAAGGGATACATTTAATTATGGCAGGGAAGGCATGGTGGAAGGTATATGAGGTGGTCAGTGTTTGCCAGTCAAGAAGCACTGAGCAGACAGGAGTGGGCATGACTACAAATCCTCATAGCTACTCTCAATGATCTTCTGTTTCCAGGATGTCTAGATCTCCTTAAAGTTCCACAATTTTCAAAATAGCACCAAGCGGGGACAAGCATGAGCCTATGGGCACAATGCATATTTAAATCAGAATGGGTGCTATCTATGATTTTTGAAAGAGACAAGGAAAGAGACATAAATATTCATTAAGATGAATCTCCTGGTTTGGGGTGACATGATGAGCAAAGTTTTTAATACAAAAATTGTATATTCATTTAGGCAAAAGAAAAAGAGAGCAAGACTCAAAATAAATGCGGTTTAGGTTCAGATTTTGTATCTAGTTGAGTGCTACTAAATTTGCATAGCATAGAAACAAACTATACCAGCAACTATACTACTGAGCCCTTTTATTTTATTTTATTTTATTTTTTAGATAACATATAAAACAACGGGTTTCATTATAATAGTTCATACATATGATTGTGTGCTATTCATATTCACTGTATCATTTTATTAAGTAGACCCTTTTTAGAAACTGGATTGCTTAACTTCAAGGAAAATTTGTTTTTCATTATTGTAAGGTATGTTTAACCAGAACCATCAAATCTAAATATAAAATGATGAATCTATGTTAAGCATACTTACATAGGTTTGTTGACTAGAGAACAATCTATGAAAGGAATCTTTGTGAATATAGTCCTAGATAATATCTTTCAAGATCCCTTAAAATGTTAAAAGGGGAAAGACACACAACTATTTGGGGGTTTTCAGCTAATCATTTCAAGAGAGGGAAACTTAAAAACAGTGTGTATGTGTGGGGGGCACAAGGGTCCGCAGAGGACTTCCTGTGGGAGCCAGTCTTTTCATTCCACCATGCTGGTTCTGTGGACTGAACTTCAGGCATTAGACTTGCAAGCATCCACTTTAACCTGCTAGGTCATATGTCTGGCTCAAGTGAAGCAAAGCTTGGAGTATTTTAAGAGAAAGAAAAGCACTGAAGAGAAGGATATTTCAAATACAGGAGCCTGTATTTTTTCATTGTTCCCTTTGGCCGTATTGCCTTAGCCCCATTGAGATCCTGATTCTGTGTCCCCCAGGCTGTGTTCTGGGCCCTGAAGTGTGGCCATTGCTGTTCATCACCTGTCTTTGACAACTTGTTGGAAACTTTGCTTCTGTACTCTGGGGTTTCTTGGTAGGGACCTTTGCTCAGGTAATTTTGAGTATGGGTCCAGGGGCCTGGGCTCAGATGGGCCTTGGTCCCCTTGCAAGCCAGGTTTATGGTGACTCTGTTAGGTAGCTTGGAGGTAACAGAAAAAAATCAGGGGCCTGGTAATTAGGAAACACAAAACAAAACAAAACAAAAAAACAGGGAACAGAACTCTACCAGACCTTCAAAGAAGAGCTACACCAATTCTCTTCAAACTATTTCACAAAATAGAAACAGAAGGAATATTACTAAAATCATTCTATGAAGCCACAGTCACCTCGAAACCTAATACATACAAAGACCTCCAAAAAGAGAACTTTAGCTCTATCTCTCTTATGGACATCAATGCCAAAAATACTCAATAAAATACTTGCAAACCGAATCCAAGAACACATAAAGGCTATCACCCACCATGACCATGTAGGCTTCATCCCAGGCATGCAGGGGTGGGTCATTTTACGGAAATCCATCAATGTGATCCACCATATAAACAAACTGAAGGAGAAAAACCACATGATCATCTCCTTAGATGCAGAAAAAGTATTTGACAAAATCCAACACCCATTCATATTTAAAGTTTTAGAGAGATCAGAGATAAAAGGCACAGACTAAAACACAGTAAAGACAACATGTAGCAAGCCTATAGCCAACATCAAACTAAACAGAGAGAAACTTAAGTGAATCCTACTGAAATCAGGGACAAGGCAGGGATGCCCACTCTCTCCATATCTCTTCATCATAGTACTTGAAGTCCGAGCTAGAGCAATAGGACAAGTACAGGAGCGGAAGGTGATATAAATCAGAAAGGAAGTCAAAGTATCACTATTTGCAGATGATATGATAGTATAAATGAATAACCCCAAAAATTCAATCAGAGAAATCCTTCAGCAGATAAACACCTTCAACAAAGTGGCTGGATACAAAATTAACTAAAAAAAATCAGTAGCCCTCCTGTATACCAAAGAAAAAAGGGCTGAGAAAGAAATCAGGGAAACTACACCCTTCACAATAGCCACTAATAACATAAAGTACCTTACTGTGACTTTAACCAAGCAAGTGAAGGACCTGTTTGAAAAAAACTTCAAGTCTCTGAAAAAAGAAAATGAAGAAGATATCAGAGGATGGAAAGACCTCCCATGCTCATGGCTTGGCAGGATTAACATACTGAAAATGGCCATCCCGCCAAAACCAATCTATAGATTCAATGCAATTCCCATCATGATACCAACAAAATTCTTTACAGAACTTGAAAGAACAATTCGCAATTTCACGTGAAAAAACAAAACAAACAAACAAAAAAACCCAAAACAAAACAACAAAAACAAAAGGAATTGCTAAAAGAATCCTGTATAACAACAGGTGGTCTGGACCTATCTCCATCTTTGATCTCAAATTGTACTACAGAGAAATAGTAATAAAAACCGCATGGTTCTGTCATAGAAACAGAATGGTGGATCAATGGAATCGGATGGATGACCCAGAAATGAACTCACACGCCTACAGATACTTGATTTTTGACGAAGAAGCCATAACTATACAATGGAAAATACAAAGGATCTTCAAGAAATGGTGTAGGTCTAACTGGAAGTCTATATGTAGAAAAATGCAAATGATCCATATATATCACTTGCACAAAACTACAGTACAAACTGATCAAAGAACTTAACATAAAAGCAGACACACTAAATTTTTTAGAAAAAAAAGTGTGGAAGAGTCTTGACCTCATTGGCATAGGAGACAACTTCCTGAACAGAACACCAACAGCACAGGCTCTAAGATCAACGATCAATAAATGGGACCTCATGGAACTGAACACCTTCTGTTAAGTAAAGGACACTGTTATCAGTACAAAACGACAGCCTACACCCTGGGAAAGGATCTTCACCAACCTTATATCTGACAGAGGGCTAATATCGGAATATATAACGAACTCAAGAATTTGAAAAGCAACAAACCTAGTAACCCAATTAAAAAATGGAGTACAGAGCTAAACAGAGAATTCTCAATAGAGGAATAACAAATGTCAGAGAAACACTTAAAGAAATGCTCAACATCCCTAAATATCAGGGAAATGTACATCAAAATAACCCTGAGATTTCACCTTTTACGCACCAGAATGGCTAAGATAAAAAAACAAAAACAAACAAACAAACAAACAAAAAAAACTCAAGAACACATGTTGGAGAGGATGTGGAGAAAGGGGAACTCTCCTCCATTGCTGGTGGGAATGTGAACTTGTAAAACAACTTTGGAAATCAATCTGGTGCTTTCTCAGACAATTAGGAATAGCTCTTCCTCAAGATCCAGCTATACCAATCCTAGGCATACATCCAAAACACGCTCAAGTACAATATAAGGGCATGTGCTCAGTCATGTTAGTAGCAGCTTTATTCATAATAGACAGAATCTGGAAACAACCCAGATGTCCCTCAAGGGAAGAATCGATATAGAAATTGTGGTACATTTACACCATGGAATACTACTCAGCAATTAAAAACAAGGATATCATGACATTTACAGGTATGGTTCTAGAAAAGCTAATCCTGAATGAGGTATCCCAGAAGTGGATATACTCACTTATAAGTGGATATTAGACATATAATATAATATAAACATATATTATAATATATACATTATATACAATACATATGCTTATATTATATATAATTATTTATAATATATGTATAACACACATATATGTTATATATATATATATAAACATACTAAATCTGTACACCTAAAGAAGCTAAGCAAGAAGGCGGATCCTGGGTAAGATGATCAATCCTCCATCAGAAAGGCAAACGAGATAGACATTGGAAGAGGGAGAAATAAGGGAGGAGGACAGGAGCCTACCACAGAGGGCCTCTGAAAGACTCTACCCAGTAGGGTATTGAAGAAGATGCTGAGACTCATAGCTAAACTTTGGGCAGAGTGCAGGAAATCTTATGAAAGAAGGGGGAGATAGAAAGACTTGGAGGGGGCAGGAGCCCCACAAGGAGAGCAACAGAACTAAAACATCTGGGCACAGTAGTCTTTTCTGTGACTGATACTCCAACAAAGGACCATGCATGGCAATAACCTAGGACCACTGCACAGATGTGGCCTATGGTGGCTTAGTGTACAAGTGGATTCCCTAGTAATGGGTACAGGGACAGTCTCTGACATGTACTCGGTGGATGGCTCATTTATCACCTCCCACTGAGGGGAAGGAGCTTTACCAGGACACAGAGGAAGACAATGCAGCCAGTCCTGATTGAGACCTGGTAGGCTAGGTTCAGAGGGAAGGGGAGAAGGATCTCTCCTATCAGTGGAGACTTGGAGAGGGGCATGAGAGGAGAAGAGGGAGGAAAGGTGTGTTTGGGAGAGGATGAAGGATGGTGTACAGCTGGGGTACAAAGTGAATAAACTGTAATTAATTAAAAAATAAATTTTAAAAAGTACTTGGATTGATCTGAAATCATATAACTTAAAATGGCTTAAATATCATATAACTTAAAATTTCAGTGGATTCTCACCTCTATGCTTTCTGTTAGATCTAGTGAATATAATGGAAGAGAAAAAGTAAATTGAAATTGTAGAAGTAGGAAGTTTATTTTTCATGTACTTGTCTTAGAAACATATAATCATTTTCATTACTACAAGTTACTGAAATCGTATTTACATGACCATAATCATGCAAATCTGAAAATCACAGCTATAAAATTCTATTGCTATACTCTTAACTTCAGCAATAAAATATCCTAATCCTCCACTGAGTACCAAGATTGTAAGAAGATGTGGTCTATGTACATCCCAGTGCTTCTGAAGAGATGAAGAAATTAAAGTAGAGAAACACAGGGTTCTCACGTATGTCCTCTGATTAGAGCTTTAGGATTTGATAAGGCAGTGGTTCTCAACATGTGGATCCTGACCCCTTTGGTGGTGGCATATCAGATGTCCGGCATATCAGATGTCCAGCATATCAGAGATATTTACATCACAATTCATGACAGTAGCAACAAAAATAATTTTATGGTTGAGGTCACCACAACATGAGGAACTGTATTAAATGGTCACAGCATTAGGAAGGTTGAGAACCACTGATATAAGGAGAGAACAAGGTAGTTAGGAAGGTCATCTTGCTGGCCACTTGAAATAGAAAGCTCTGTGGGTCTGAGATCCTATGCAGGGCAAGTGGTTATTATGTGAAGGGCTCTTTCAGCCTTCCAGAAGAACTGTGACTTCCACTTACACTGAATGAGAATTCCAGAAAGGGCCTGCTTGAACTTCTCCTTTGCTTCTTCCATCTCTTTTTCATGGGCAGCTTTCTCATTCACCAGGCGGCGGACGTGGCTGTTAGCTGACTGGATCATGGAATAGAAATGGTTGGCACTGCGGCGGTTCACTTCTCCTCTCTCTATCCATGTTAGCAAGGTCTGCACAGCTTCTGAGAATTTGGAATCATCTGAAACAAAAGAGTTTATTTTGAAAACTACTGACAATGACCAAATTTCATTCTATTTTCCCAATATGCTGGCAAAGGTGTCATCATGGCTCTTTTGCTATGATAGTTACATGAATTAATGAAGGTAAGAAACCTCACATGCACACATGAGTACATAGGCAGCACATAGGAATAAAGAAATAATAAAAGGCTAGGCTGACTGGTTATGGCTAATGAAGAGCTTCAGAAAGACAAGGGTTTTTTTCTTTCATAAAGTTTCTGGGGATATAAGTATGTGTGAGGCTCCAGTTTTCATTCCCAGTACACACACACACACACACACACACACACACACACACACACACACACCTCACTCCCTCAAAGGAAAAAAAAACACATTTTATACTATTATAGTTTTCATGTACTGGGAATTTTTTTAATTTATCTGGTTATTTGAGAGATGGATGTAAAGAGGGAGATGAGGGAAAGACACAGACATACATGCGTATACACACACACACACAGATAGAGACAGGGAGATAGAGAGGGAGAAAGAGAGAGGAATTAGCAGCAAGGGAACTTCAAAATTCTATAATCTTGCATTTTAATAATGGAAGCCAATGAAAATGTTGCACTTAAGCTGGATATATCAGTATCTTTTACCCTGGAAACATGTGATTATACTTATGGAGAGGGCCTAAGGAAAGAGCTCAGTGGGTAGTTCTTTATCTATATGCATTTTTATCTTCAACCCTTTTTAACATTACACTGGAATCCAATCCTGAGCTCTAGCCCTTCCACTTAGTCCTAGGCACAATGTACTTTGATGTTGTTCCTTTTATTTCTGTATGTCCTCACACCTTTTTCTCTTGCCTCCAGGTAGATTTCTGCAGTTCATCAGGAGCCATTCTGTAATGTTAATAAAATATAGCTGTTCCAAACCTTCCAGGCCAGCCAGCTTCCTGAGCTAGCTACTTGCATACTCTGTTCTTATAGACCTGTGAGATAGATTCTAACAGCATTCATTGAAGTTGCATTCTATAGCTTCACATCCCCCTCTGGATAGAAGCTCTCTGTCAAACAGATATATCTTGCTCTGCAATTTTATTTTCTTGCCCCTCCCACTTTTCAGTGCAGAGACAACAGTAGATGACTCCTCCCCATGCAGCAGCTTTTCATTTCATTACTTGGATATGGTCTTTTTTTTTTTAAATCTTTTATTTATTTTTTATTAATTACACTTTATTCATTTTGTATCCCCCCATAAGCCCCTCCCTCCTCCCCTGCCAATCCCACCCTCCCTCCCCTTTCTGCATGCATGCCACTCCCCAAGTCCACTGATAGGGGAGGTCCTCCTCTCCTTCTTTCTGATCTTAGTCTATCAGTTCTCATCAAAAGTGGCTGCATTGTCCTCTACTGTGGCCTGGTAAGGCTGCTCCCCCCCCAGGGGGAAGTGATCAAAGAGCAGGCCAATCAGATTATGTCAGAGGCAGTCCCTCTTCCCATTACTATGTAACCCACTTGGACACTGAACTGCCATGGGCTACACCTGTGCAGGGGTTCCAGGTCATCTCCACAAATAGTCCTTGGTTGGAGTATGAGTCTCTGGGAAGTTCCCTGTGTTCAAATTATCTTGTTCTGTTGCTCTGCTTGTGGAGTTCCCGTTCCCTCCAGCTCTTACTATTTCCCACTTCTTACATAAAATTCCATTCACTCTGCCCATCAGTTGGCCATCAGGCTCAGCATCTGCTTTGACAGTCTATACTGCAGAAGCTTTCAGAGGCCCTCTGTGGCAGGTTTCAAGGTTGTTTCCTGTTTTCTTCTGGCTTTCAGAGGCCCTCTGTAGCGGGTTCCGACGTTGTTTCCTATTTTCGTTTTCTTCTGATGTACATCCTCTTTGCCTTTCAGGATGGGGATTGAACATTTTAGTTAGGGTCCTCTCTTTTGCTTAGTTTGTTTAGATGTACAGCTTTTAGTGGGTTTATTCTATATTGTATGTTTATATGAGTGAGTATATACCATGCATGTCTTTTTGCTTCTGGGACAACTCACTCAGGATGATCCTTTCCAAGTCCCACCATTTACCTGCAAATTTCATGATTTCCTTATTTTTCATTGCTGAGTAATACTCCATTGTATAGATGTACCACAGTTTCTGCATCCATTCTTCAGTTGAGGGGCATCTGGGTTGTTTCCAGCTTCTGGCTATTACAAATAAAGCTGCTACAAACATGGTTGAACAAATGTCCTTGTTGTGTACTTGCGCCTCTTTTGGGTATATGCCTAGGAGTGGTATGGCTGGATCTTGAGGGAGCGCTATTCCTAGTTGTCTGAGAAAGCGCCAGATTGATTTCCAGAGTGGTTGTACCAGTTTACATTCCCACCAGCAGTGGAGAAGGGTTCCCCTTTCTCCACAACCTCTCCAGCATGTGTTGTCCCTTGAGATTTTCATCTTGGCCATTCTGATGGGTGTAATGTTGACTTGGATTGTGCTTCTCTTGATGGCTGTGTGACCAGTAAATTCTTTTCTTCTTTTTAAAAGTAAAGTATCTTGTTTCGTGTCATGTAAATAGACAAGTCTTAAAGCTGGCATCCTACGATTGTGAAGGCTTCTCCAGTGTTTCAAAGTATACCATTATTTCAGTTCAGTTTGGGATGGTATGGTTTCTTTTTTTTTTTCCATTGCAGAAAGTAAAAATCAATCAAAGAGATTTCTTAAGTGTGATGTGAACAAGTTTGGCAAATGAGACCTATTTATTTGGAAAGCAGAATTAGTGGAATGAAAATACAAAAGCAGGGCATATTTATGCCATTAGAGATAAGTCAGTGTCATCACTAAGATCAATGGGACAGCAGCATCCATTCAATAAAATCAACTGTACTCAGAAAATAAGAGATTGGATTTGAGTTACTAAGACAAGAGAATAGTCAAGGTGATTAATGCCAAATTAGCAAAATAGCTCTAAGAATCAAGCAAGACAGGAATCTAAACTAAAGAAAAAGGAGTTTGGCTTAGTAATAATTAGAAGTGTCCATAGCTGCTTTAGAATACCATGGCCTTTAACAACAATAAAGGCGTCTTTTCCTAGGTAGTAGCTAAGTCTTCTGGGTAATCAATACATACACATAGTGACTAATTTCTGGGCCTCCATTTTGCCATCTTTGTTTTTTATCTATTTATTTTGATATAGGAGTTCATTTTATAACCCAGGCTGCCTTGCAATTCTTGGTGATCATCCTGCTTCTGCCTCCAGAGTGTTGGGATTATAAGCATGTCCCACAATACCAGCTCATTATGCCATCTTTAGAAAGAGAGCTGTGCTGGAATTTTACAGGGTCATATCCAGTTAATTCTGTCATGCTGATGTACTCACTGACTGAAAACTCAATTCTCACTTGTACCCACTAAGAAAGGGGCACACGTAAGTCCTAAACCATCACACCTAAATTTTCTGGTATGGCAAGTGGGAAACTATTTCTTATTAGTTATCCAGTGTCTGCAGAGAAAAGTGCCAACCTTTGAGACAATAAGGTAACTGAGACACAGGTGGGATGGACAAATTTCCTGGTTCTTAAGTCACTTGGTACTGTCAGCAAGCCTCCAACACAAGAAATACTAAGATCTATTAGTCAGAAATTAAAAGGGTAACCAACAACAGCACACTGATATTTATTACAATTCCCAAAGAAAAGAGTTCATATAATCATGGCTCTTAAATACTTCTAATACCTTTTAGTTTTTCAGCAACAATGCTGCATTCATGATCTGAATAGTGGACCACGGGGGGTGGGGATGGTGGACGAAGTCTTTCTTCTTCCATCCGTCTACGGTGACGCTCCTCTCTTGCTAGCATACGCTGTTTACACTCCCACTCATATAAGTCATCTCGAGCTTGGGCAAAGTCAACATGAAGTCGGCCTGTGTCCTTCTTGTCAGTACTAGAGCCCAGGCGAATTCGGTAACCTAAATTAAAGGAGTGGGGGAAGTGAGAAGAGACGAGTAAGCCAACAACTACATGTACTTTGTCAAGGTCAGTGTATTAGAGATGGTTTCATTAGTGATGGCACAACACCATATTCTGTCCCAGTGATATCATGGTGAATCATCAAGACTTAGATTATCATCTCATTTTGTAAAGTATGCTTTATTGGTAAGTTGTCATGTATGGTTTCTCAAAGTGTCTTCCAAAGCTTCTTGTCTGGGCCTGGGGAGCCCACTTATACTCTGTGATAGGGAGAAGGAAAGAACTTCCAAACAGCCCAAGAGTAAAAAACACCCTACCCTTGAGAGCAGCTAGAAAGTAAATCATTTCCAACAGATGTTACTATTTTTTATCCCATTATATAAAGGTATCTACAGTGGTAAAGATCCAGAAATTTAGCCATAGAAAGCTCATCAATGGAGACCAAGCTTAACTGGAAACTTCAGTTGGCTGGTTAAACTTTGCCAGTTAGATACTGATGGAAGCTGTGACGGCCCAATTTGACAATGCTAATTCTATGTCTTAAACAAAACAAAACAAAACAAAACAAACAAACAAACAAAAAACCCACTACAACAACCAAACTTGGAAGCCTCATTCAAGGGAATATTTTGTTCTGCCCATGAATCTTGTTTGGGAACTTCAGCTGGCTGTGGTACCAGGGTTTCTCCAGTCTGTTATATGCTTGTGAGCCTCCGTTTTTAGCATGTTATCTTTATGCTGTTGTTCTTTTACTTAGAGCACTTATCAAAGGGAATATTCTGCTCTGCCTGGGATTCTCTCAGTCATCTCTGATGACTGCATTAGTGGAGCTTCCCTACTAGATTTCTGGATTTTGAGTACCTAGTTTGATGATATTTTGTTCTACCATTTTCTTCTTTTACTTTGGTTTATCATATACTTAATAAACTCATTCATTAAAAATGGAAAGTATAGTTATAGCAGATCATTTTCTGGACCATGAAGAAAATACCTTTAATAAAAGCTTTCTCTTCTATGGGTTTGAATGAGATTTTAGGTGTGCTTTTTCTCTACTTTGACATCTTACATGACACAAGAATGAGCACTGGGGCTCAGGATATGGCTCAGTGAGTAAAGCACTTGCTGTATAACTACAAGAAACTGATTCCAAATTCTCAGACTTCCCATAAAAAGTCCGGCATGGTACCAAATGTTAGGAGGATCCTCAGGAGCTCAAGTGCAAGCTGGCAAGGCATCACAACAGTGATCAAGAGACCCTGCTGCAAACAAGATGGAAGACAAGGACTGACATACATGCTCAAATTCACACACACAAGTGTGCTCATGCTACATGCAAACACATCATACATTTGCATATAAACACAAGAATAAGAAAAAAAAAAACAAAATCAATGAAAGAAAGAGCCTTCTATTGTACCAACGGCTGGAAAGAATGGAAAATGCATTTCTCAATGTGGTGCTTTTGGATAATTTCAAGAATGTAAGTTACACCATCCCATAGAACTCTGGTGAAATGTATATGCATTAGCTTATAAATGAATTTTAAAAAATTGTTTCTTGGATACAGTTGGGAGTTGGGAATTCTGGATTACTTTAGTTTCAGGAGGAGAAATTAAATAGATGGGAAGGGGTGTTACATAGTTTGGGATACTAAAAAATGTTGATGTGATTATAACAGTCATATATAAGTTGGATTTAGAAAACCAGGATCAACTTCCTACTTCTACTTTTTGTGTCAGTTATATTGGCCTAAGCAAAGTTTCTTGACAAACAACATACTGGTAAGTACATTTTGTGCTTCAGAAGCTGAGATGAATACTTATATTCATTTCAGTTTCCACACGTACTATAAGGGTAAACATTTTACCAAAGAGAAAAATAAACATCAGAGAAGATAGAGAGGTTAAACAGCTTGCCCTATGCAGCTGGTAGAGACAGAACTTATATCTGCTGGTGATGTTATATTTGGAAAGCAACGTAGCTTTTCTTCTCTTCTTCTGAGCAATGCCCAATACAGACTTTGTTCCTGGATAAGCAACAGAGGGTCACATTTATGCTCCTCCATTAAAAAGTAAAATTATATATCTATATCACAGGAAACAATGGTGTTTGAGATACTGAACAATTAAGACAGTGAGCAGTGGGAGACAATCAAATGAGGTGGTCCCTGTGATTTTTCCCATGCTACTATCTAGACAAGTTTTCCAGGCCTTTGTGCAGAATGGGAAGCTCAGACATAGCCTGCTGTTCTTCCCTGGGATTCTGTGAGGACTATGGTAGACAGAGTTCATGATGCAGAGTATCAGAAGGAAGGAATCTGCACAGAGAAGAACTGAAGAGTATTGCAGAAGAGATCTTCAGAGACTGCCACAATAATTTATCAGGATACTGATGTCTATACACCTAAGTGGAAACCATCAGAGTGTTAGAAGCTGTAATCTCTGGAGCTCACACATGTCTGAAAATAGCTCCTTTCCCCACTTAACAGAGGAGAAAAATCTCATACATAATAGAGACTGGGTAACCAGAAAAGTTTGCCTTACTAGTGAAGGAAAATTTGCCCCAGGCTTGCTTTTGTCCTGCCAAACAGTGCTTAGAAAGCAACCCTTAAAAGGACAATGCAGCCAATTTTGATGAGAACTGATAGACTAAGATCAGAAAGGAGAGGAGAACCTCCCCTATCAGTGGACTTGGGGAGTGGCATACATGCAGAAAGGGGAGGGAGGGTGGGATCGGGAGGGGAGGAGGGAGGGGCTTATGGGGGGGATACAAAATGAATAAAGTGTAATTAATAAAAAATTAAAAAAAAGAATAACACAATAAAATAAGTTTTTAAAATTTGAAAAAAAAAGAACAAAGATTCTTCCCATATACCCTCCACCTCCTTTCAAACTGATTGATTCTTTTCCTTTGATTATTATTGTTTTTTTCATATATATAAACTTTTTTAAATTTTTTTTAATATTAGTTACAGTTTGTTAATGTTGTATCCCTGTTGTATCCCACTCCCTCTTTCCCTCCCAATCCCACCCTCCCATTCTGATTTCCTCCCTGCCCCTTTCCAAGTCCACTGATAAAGGAGAACCTCCTCCCCTTTCATTTGACCCTGTTTTATCAGGTCTCTTCAGGACTGGCTGTAAAGTCCTCCTCTGTGGCCTAGCAAGGCTGCTCTTCCCTGGGGGGGGGGGTCAAAGACCCCGCCATCGAGTTCATGCCAGAAACAGTCCCTGTTCTTCTTATTAGGGTACCCACTTGGATACTGAGCTACAAAGGGCTACATCTGAGCAGGGACTCTAGGTTGCATCCATACATGGTCCTTGTTTGGAGAAACAGTCTCATAAAAGACCCCTGTGCCCAGATATATTTGGTCCTTATGGAACTCTTGTCCTCTCCAGGTCATATTAATCCCCCCCCCCTTTTTATTCCCTGTATTCTGCCGGAGGTTTGGTTATGAATCTTAAACATTGGGAGGGCTGGAAAGAGGAAAAGGAAGGCAAAAGTGATGTAGTTATATTTTAATAACTGTATATTAAAGTATAAATGTTTAAAGAAAAAAAAAGAAAGTTAATTCTGGGTTAATTTTATGGACTTCAAACTTCAATATTTTGCTAAGGAATCAGCGTGTCTTCACAAAGATATTTAATGCATTATATTGGATCCAAAGTCGTATTAAAGTTGTATGCCACCATGCCCAGCAAACTTTTTTTTATCACTTTATTATATGTTCTTTTTGCCTGAGTATGTTAGCAACTCTAAAACCAGAATAAAAGGATTTCAGTTATTAAAAAAAAAAGGACAAAGATTTCCTAAATTTCATGCTTTTATCTCTGAATAAAAGCTCAAGAGCATTAATTTATAAGAATAACAACAATGTGTAGCTCCACTACTTGGTTACCCAATACCAAATGGTCAGCCCTGAAAACATACATACAAGTAACATTATACACACTGAGCAATTTTTTTAGAATATACTCATATATACAATTAATGGCAATTAATGAAAGAGAGCAGAAAGAGGTATATGCGATGCTTTGGAGAAAATGAAGAGAAAAATGATGTAATTATATTATAATCTTGAAAACAAAATAATGAAAATGATTTTTTTCAAACAAAAATAGTCATTTTCTTACTTTTGAAACAGTTTCTTGCTTTGCAGCCCCGGCTGGGTTGAAACATATCATTCTCCCTCCTTAGCTTCCTGAATGCTAACATTCATTCTTTCTGAAACATACAAATTCTGAAAGACGTCATCCAAAACTGACTTGTGAAAACTGTTAAAGGAAATTTAAGCAGTGGGCAAATGAGATCATAATCCCACTTACAGAAGTTCCAAGAAATTCCTAGTAATCTGATAAAGAACAGATAAGTGATTTCCTGACAATGAAATAAAAGGAAAAAGAGAATTACAAAAGAGGGACAAGGGAAGCTTTAGGAAATAAATGGTATATTAATTTCTTTAATGGTTGGTGATGGTTTCAACTCTGTATCATATATCACAGATTATATAATTGTATTTTGAATTATGTTTATCAATTATAATAGCTATATGTTTCTATTAGTGTAAGAATAGATGATAGATGATAGCATAAAGGGTGCCACATTTTTTTTTGTGAATTAATAGACCCCTCAGGGCTTTATTAATTAAAAAGTTCAAGTCATAGTAAAGCACCTCTTTTTCTTTTTTAAATTTTATTTTATTTTTATTAATTACAGCTTATTCACTTTGTATCCCAGCTGTAGCTCCCTCTTCCATCCCCTTCCAATCCCACCCTCCCTTCTTTTTCTCCTATGCCCCTCCCCCAGTCCAATGATAGGGGAGACTCATAGCCAAATTTTGGGTAGAGTGCAGGGAATCATATGAAAGAAGTGGGAGATAGAAAGACATAGAGGGGAGAGGAGCTTCACAAGGAGAGTAACAGAATAAAAAAATATGGGCCCAGGGGTCTTTTCTGAGACTGATACTCCAAACAAGGACCATGCATGAGGATAACCTAGAATACCCAAAATAGATGTAGCCCATGGCAGCTCAGTGTCCAGGAGGGTTCCCTAGTAATGGGAAGAGGGACTGTCTTTGACATGAACTCAGGGGTTGGCTCTTTGATCAACTCTACCTGATTGGGGAGCAGCCTTACAAGTCCATAGGAAGACAATACAGACAGTCCTGATGAGACCTGATAGGCTAGGGTCAGATGGAAGGGGAGGAGGAACTCCCCCGTCACATATTTCTTTTAGAAAAGAAAAAAATAACAAACATTTTATCAACAAACTTGTTTAAGACCCTTTACAGTTGGATAGTCTACTTGCATACCCATTCCTTTTACTGGTCACCTAAGCCATTAGAAAACTGGAGCTACAAATGAATTATACAAGAGATGAGAACATGAAAGCACTATAGGGTTGTGTGGACCCAAAGGAGCTTCCACTCCCACAAAAAATGATTCTTCCTGCATTCCTGCAACATGTTTTATAATTGTTTTTCTTCTTCTTGTTGTTGTTGTTTTGTTTGTTTCCCCTCTTTCTTTTATACTTTACAACAAAAGAAGAATCTGATTCAAGAGATTTTGTGGCACCCATGACCCTTCCCCAGGAGAATGCTCAATTTTAAAGGGCAAATTTTAGTTATTTTCACAACACTGATTGTCAGTCATCTTTCATTTGGCAGCCCTGCAGATATTTGTAGGAGATGACTGTAAACAGAGAATAGATTTCAGTCATGTTCAGATGGGTGCCTCCTGAATAGTATGTTTTCTTTTATGTCTATTTAAGGCTTTTTAAACCTTTGCAATCTTATTAAAATAATCTATTGTGGACTGTTCAATTGTTGTTGCTAAGTGCTGTCTAATCTTTAGTAGTTAGATTCTGTAGCACTTGTATTCTTAATCTAATGCTCCTTCTCTTTCCCTATGTTAGTAGCCCATTTTTGCAAATTCTCATTACTTTTTCCCTGGTCTATTACAGTAGGCTTTAAACTGACCTTCACTTCTTCTTTCTCTTCTTCCCTCCAATCCATTTTCACACAGAAATGAGAGAAAATCACTTTTCTAGTTAAAAATTGTCTTCTATACTATTACTTGGGGAGTAAAAACCCAGTTGCTTATACCTTCAATGTAAGCTAACAACTTATATTTTCCAACCCTCTCTCATGTTTGCCTAAAACACAAACCACCTTGTTATATTCTGCATGTTTGCCAAAGCTTTTCAGTTTTGTTATTTTGCTTATATGGTTTTTTTTTTTTTTTTCTTTTCGGTATTGCCTTAGTTACTTTTCTATTGCTGTGATAAGACATGACAACCAAGAAAACTTAGAGAACAAAGAGTTTATTGTGGCTTGCAGTTTCAGAGGTAGTGTTCCTGACCATCTTGGTGGGGAGCATGGCAACAGGCAGGCAGACATGACATTGGAGTAGTAGCTGAAAACTTACAAACTTATACACAAGTAGGAAGCAGGGAGAGCTAACTGGGAAGGTCATAGGCTTTTCAAACCTTAAAACTTACCTCCAGTTGCCCATCTCTTCCAACAAGGACATACATCCTAATCTTTTTCAAATAGTTCCACCAATTGGGGACCAACTATTCAAACATATAAGCCTATGGAGGCCAATCTCACTACAACTATTCACCAGAAAATCCTTTCACTTTGTCAAAGACATGTTGCAAGAGCAACCTTTATGTTCTTGCCAGATGGTTCAATGGGTAACGACAACTGGTGCCAAGCTTAAGGACCTGAGTTTGATCCTTGGAAACTCAAGTGATAGGAGAGAACTGATTATGGTAAATTGTTGCCTGACTTCTAAATGCAGACCATGGCAAACACACACACACACACACACACACGAAACATTTATATTCTTTCCATCCCTCTTTCACTCTCTTTTCCATTATCTTTCTATTCCCTATGGCGTTCTTTCCTGTCAGTCATCATTATTATTAGCAGTGGTTTGCTTTATCAGATGGATGCAGAAGCATGCATTTTAGAATGGTGTAATAGATATCACATTAGAATAAAGTACCAAGTGCTGTCACAGCACTCAGGAAAGAGTACTTAAACCATCTTGGGGAAGATAGGACAGATAAATTAGAGAAAGCTTTCCAGAGACTTTATACTTTAGCTGTAGCATAAGGGCATGAGGATGTGTGTGTATATGTGTATGTGTGTATGTGTGTATGTGTGTATGTGTGTGTGTGTTGGATTGGCATGGGCAAAGTAATTGTAGCAGAGGAATAGATTTAAAACATTGTGGCACATTCTAGGAACTAGAATTTACTGTGTAGTTGGGACATGAGTGCAGGAAGAATTGAGATATGACACAGAGACAGAGCCTGTTGCCCACATCTTTAATGCCACGTGTAAAATCTAAAGTTGTTTTACAGATAGTTCAGAACTTTAATGAGGCTTTAAGGAGGAAGGCTGGAGAGGAGGCAACGTGCCTTTTCCATACCTTAAGGTACAGGGAGTCCTTTAACTTACACACTGCTGCTAATGACCCAAATACTCTGCTCACAGATCTCCACATTGTACCCTGTGAACAGCATGATCGCCACATGCTAACACTTACCAGAAAGATAAAGGGCTTTGTCCACCATGTACTCCTCAGCAAAGCGAATGTGACAGAAGTTCTTTTTGCTCTTCCGGATAGCAATGATCTCTCCACATTGCTCAAACACTTCCACAATAATCTGCTCTGTTCCATTTTCAGGCAGGCCACCCACAAACACTGTCTTACACCCTGGCGGTCTTTCTCGTGTTGCAGGTGGTGGGAGATCTAAATTTAAAGGCAAAAATATCTTAAATTAAAAAATATTTGCATGGGAAAGACCTCTTTAAACCTGACTCTTTTTCAGACATAGTCCTATTGTCCCCCCAAAATGTTAGCCTCCATGGTGCTTGTCTCTGTTCAAAGAAAATTTATTGCATAAACCTGAAAAGCATTTTATCCAGTGATTTAATGCCTGTGATTGTAATGGAATAAAGACACATTCTGACTGGCTGTCCCATCTAGAGCTCATTAGTTTCATTCCTTACTTTTGCTGTGATAAGCCAGTACATTTTTGTCATTTGGATCAAGAATAGTAAGTAGGGGAAATCCCATTTAGTTTAGTTAATTATGTTCAGCAGTCTGTTCACCCACAGTCCCTGACAGAGCATCTGCCTAGTTCAGATGGCAATTACTACATTCTACTAATGTATATTAAAAGAAGCAGTTCATGACTACTTTGAAAATCACAAGGTGAATATTTACAAAAGCATTTATAGCTGTTAGAATGGCTTGGTTAAACAAATCAAAACAGAAAGTATCCCTGTTATATTTTTACAAATTTTTAAAAATATAAATACAAACAAGACTTTCCTGTAATTTTTTGCTGGAGTAGTGAGCTCCAAAGGCAATCTTGCAGCATTTAAAGCGGCATTAGACTGCAGAGACACTAAGCTTGCCTGAAAAAACATTAACAAAAAGCAAAAGATTTATATGATCTGTGTAGGTCTGAGGCACCAACCAAGGACCATGCACGAAGAGGACCTAGACCCCCTGATCAGATGTAGCTAATGGGCAGCTCAGTTTCCATGTGGGTTCCCTAGCAAGGGGAACAGGGGCTCTCTTTGACATGGACTCAGTGGCTGGCTCTTTGATCATCTCCCCCTGGCAAGGCGGTCTTACTAAGCCACTGAGAAAGAGGATCCAGCCAGTCCTGATGAGACCTGATGGGCTAAGGTCAGATACTAGGGGAGGAGGTCCTCCTCTATCAATAGATTAGCAGGAGGGAGGGTGTGACCATGAGGAGATGAGGAAGGGGGCTACAGCTGGGATACAAAGTGAATAAACAGTAATAAATAATAATAAAAAATTAAAAATCAGAAAAAAGATTTAAAAAAAGATTTGTATGATCTGAAGAGAAAAACTCTACCTAGCAGTGCCTCAAAACAGATGCTGAGATTCACAGGCAAACACTGGTCAATGCATAGGAACTCTTAGGGAATAGTGGGAGGAAAGAGAAAAGGACCCAAAAGTGACAGGAGCTCCACATGAAAAACAACTGAGCCAACTAACCAGGGCCCAGAGGCATTTGCTGAGACTGAAGCATCAACCAAGGACCATGCATGAATTGGACCTAGACCGCCTACAAAGATGTAGCAGATGGGCAGCTCAGGATTCAAGTGGGTCCTCTAGTAAGGGAAGTGGGCCTGCATGGGACATAGACTCATTTGCTAGCCTTTAGATCAAGTCCCCCTGGCAGGACTGCCTTAGCAGCTGACAGGGGAAGAGGACATATTCAGACTTGATGCAACTTGATGAGCTGGGGTGAATGGCATATGGGAGAAGGGAGGGAAGGTGGGACTGGTAGAGGAGAAGAAAAGGGGATACAGGGATGTAAAGAGAATAAAATAAATAAATGAGAAAAAGAAAACTAAAGTGAGATAAATCTTGATCTGGAGGATCATTAAAAACTCCCTAATGACATGACTCTCCCTCTGTTTAAAAAAATGTGTTTCACTCATCGTATACAGAAAGGCTGTTGGATCTGTCACCTCCTTGTTACTCTATATGTTTCAAAGCATTTTTAAGTGAAAACCTACAGTTCAAAGCCAAACAAAACAAAGCATGCTGGCCGTGTTTCTTTTCTTCTTCTGGTGTTGCTTTGTGTCTGCAAGGGTTTATTTTGTGTAATCCATTCTTCTCATTCATAATTTTCCCAGCTCAAGATTTGAAGAGCTCAACAATCAGGGAGTACAGCTCCCCTGTGAAAATAAATACATCTCACTCACAGATGAGAATGAAGTGTCTACCTGAGTCTTATCCAAGTTGGAAAGCAGTAGATTTGGGAGCTTCCTTGACTAGTAATATGCCCATTGTCTTACGGCTGCACATCTTTCTGGGGTGGTTGAGAAGATGGAGTTTCTCATGATGACATTTCCCACATACTTAGTTGATAGGGAGGAAGAAGGGATAACTTTATTTTATTTTTTGCTGTGTGTTTCATATGAGAGGCTTAGAGGAAAAGAGAACATTATTGAGTGAGCAGGAGTCTGAACTATCCTACTTTTCGCAAGTGAGGTTGTCATTTAGTAGAAAGGTAAGAAAGGGGTTGATAATTGCTTTAGACTTAGGCTTTTGAGTTTTTAACAACTGGAAAATTGTGTCACAATCATAATTCCAGTTATTCTTAACTCTGCTATCATGAAAGAATCAACTTGGGAGTTAAGCAAATAATACTGGGCCCCACACCAATAAGGCTGACATAATTAGTTAAAGGTGGTGTATCTGTGCATGTTTTTGAAGCTTATCAGGCAGACTCAGTATGTAGGTAGGGATGAAAGCTAATGAGCATTCTAAACTTGTGATACTACAGAGAAAAAAGAGGGTCTCATTCAAGGACATCCCATTAAATAAAGACACCTTAAACTTGGAACAAAAAAACCTGTATGTAAAGCTTATTCATTATCTGTGTTACCATGACAAAGTAACACAGACTGTGAAAACTTCTGTTCTCAATCTTTTAAATGAGGGCACCATTCCCTACCTTAAATGGATTTGTTTTTGTATGACTATTGATATATATTGTCCATATTGGATATTGTACAAACCCTACCTAGCTCATCTTGCCTTCCTAATAAACAGGAGTCACTACAGTGTTAATACTTATTATTAAATCCATGTCTCATAACTCCAAAGCTGGGCCTTTTCAATACCCTACCACACACCTGGAGTGCAGTGTTAGTAAAGACTTGGACTTGTTATTAAGAATGTTTTTTTTTAAAGTATGTCAACATATTTACTGAATATATTTTATCTGTGACTCAAGAAAGAAAACATCATTTGAATCTTATTTTCAATTATGCTAACATTTACATAGTCACATTTAATACTTTCTATTGCATAAGAAATATAATACATTCAATCCATTTTTAACTAAAATCTACTGAAGTTAAATATTGTCAGTCACAGCTGAAGGGTTTCTCACTATGAAATATTATATATTAGGTAGACAGTCCTTAATTGTATCCATTTTTCTATCAACTATTAAACTTCAACAAAGATTGTCTTTGCATGATGGTGAAGACCTTTAACCCCAGCACTAGGGAAGCAGAGGCAGGCAGATTTCTCTGAACTCTAGGATAGTAAAAACTACATCATGATCACCTATCTCAAAAAATATGTTATATCTAAAAAAAATTATTTAAATGTACATTTTCTTTTTTTTGTTTTTTTATTTTCATTTTTTTAAATTTTATTTTTTTCTTATCAGTTACATTTTATTAACTCTGTATCCCAGCTGTATCCCACTCCCTCATTCCCTCCCAATCCCACCCTCCCTCCCTCATCTCCACCCTGCCCCTTTCCAAGTCCACTGATGGGGGACCTCCTCCCCATTCATCTGATCCTGTTTTATCAGGTCTCTTCAGGACTGGCTGCAAAGTCCTCCTCTGTGGCCTAACAGGACTGCTCCTCCCTTGGGGGGTGGGGAGGTCAAAGAGCCAGCCATTGAGTTCCTGTTAGAAATAGTCCTTGTTCCCCTTACTATGGGAAACCAATTGGTTACTGAGCTACCACCGGCTACATCTGAGCTGTTATTAAGAATTTTAGATTTTATTTTTTTTTAACTCAATCCTCACTCAGAAAGACAAATGGGATGGACATTGGAAGAAAGAGAAAACAGGAAACCTGAGAAAAGCCTACCAGAGAGGGCCTCTGAAAGACTCTACCCAGTAGTGTATCAAAGCAGATGCTGAGACTCATAACCAAACTCTGGGTAGAGTGCAGGGAATCTTATAAAATAAGGGGGGGGGGGATAGTAAGACATGGAGAGGACGGGAACTCCACAAGGAGAGCAGCAGAACCAAAAAAAATCTGGCCACAGGGGTCTTTTCTGAGACTGATACTCCAAACAAAAACCCCTGCACAGATGTAGCCCATGGTAGCTCAATGTCCAAGTGGGTTCCCTAGTAAGGGGAACAGGGACTGTCTCTGCCATGAACTCAGTGGCTGGGTCTTTGATCACCTCCCTGTGAGGGGGGAGCAGCCTTGCATAGAGGAGGACAATGCAGCCAGTCCTGATGAGAACTGATAGGTTAGGATCAGATGGGAGGGGAGGAGGACCTCCCCTATCAGTGGACTGGGGGAGGGGCATGAGAGAAGAACAGGGAGGGAGGGTGGGGTTAGGAGGGGATGAGGGAGGTGGCTACCGCTGGGGTACAAAGTGAATAAACTGTAATTAATATAAAAAATAAATATTTAATTTAAAAAACCTAAGAAATATTTTAAGACTATGAAAAAAAGAATACGTGTTCGTTTTACTCCCAGGTATAGGGATGTGGGACTGCTTCAAAGCAGCAGACTATGACTTGCCTCATGCTCTATCAGAGGTGTGGTTTTGCCAGCTGCAGATGGTTTCTGCACTTGTGTGACCTTTGGAATTCTGAGGACTTTTCAGAGGGTAGATAAATGCTAGGTCCTGAGAGGCATGGTGGGTTGCTGGTTGGATGCTGTTGGGCGGATCTCTTAAGTAGTCATGAGAAAGAAACGAGAAGAGGAAGAAATTAAATATCCTGATGATGAAGATCAAACTTACCCTAATCAGTATGAAGAAGTCTAATGATAATGTCATCCCTGTTCCTCTTTATCCTTTTTATTTCTCCTATGTAGTGTTGGGGATTAAAAGGGTGGAAAAAGAATGGAGAAGGTTGGTAGAAAAAGGAATTAACAAAGTAGCAAAGATCAGTTACAGACTTGTGAAATACAAACCCCATTGATTTCCCCAGATAAAT